CTGGGCCACGCGGTCAACAAACCTTCCTCACTGCCCTAGGCTTTTCCTTGGTTCTACTCTTCAGCATGGTCTCTTAGCACGTAGATGAAGGGCTGGGTACTCTGGCCTCTTTGGCTTTCATAGCAGCCCTCATTCAGTAAACAGTGCCAGTCTGCCAGGTGCCTCAGGTCTAGCTCTAGAAAGATATCCTCACTCTTTTTTTCAAATCTGTTTATTTTCCCATGCATCTGTCTGAGCAATTATTTATTCCTTTTGGATTCATTATTCTGCAGTGGAATGGCATGCTGGAAAATGCCTGTCTTCCTACACAGAGAGGATTTTGAAAACATAGGCTCCATTTTGTTTAACATTCTATTCCCACCACCTGTAACCATTTTTCATGGTATTGTTGTTGTTATTGTCATTATGTGCTCTCATGTCACCTGTGACTCATAGCAACCATATGTACAACAGCTCTGAACTCTACCCTATCCTGAGCCAATCTCACTGTCTCTGACATACCTACCCCCATTATCACAGTCAATCCATCTCATCAGGGGTTTTCCTCTTTTGTGCTGTCCCTCCACCTTTCCAAGCATGATGTCCCTCTCCCAGGACTGGTCCCTCTTGAAAACATGCCCAAAGTATGTGAGATGGAGTTTCAAAATCCTTGTCTCCAAGGAGCAGCCTAGTTTCATTTCTCCAGGACAGACTTGTTTGTTATCTGGTGTGTTCAATATTATTCTCCCACACCACAACTGAAAGACATTGATTCTTCTTCTATTATCCTTAGTCATTGTTTAGCTTTCAGATGCATAGCAAGTAATTGTGAAGACCATGGCTTGGATCAGGTGCACCTTAGTCTCTAGACTGTCACTGTTGCTCTTCAGCACCCTGGAGAGGTCCCTGACAGCAGATTTTTCTAATGTAATTCATCTTTGATATCCTGTCTACTGGTGTCAAGGATTGTTGATTGTAGAGTCAAGCAGGATTAAATCATCAATTTCTCTCTCATCTCCATCTATCATGGTGCTTTCAAATTGCCCAGTGGTGAGAATTTTTCTTTTCTTCATGTTAAGCTTCAATCCATATTGAAGACTGCAGTCCTTGACCTTCTGCTCTTTTTTTCCTATTCTGCAAGTCAGTTAGAAAATCTTCCAGGACTTAGAGAATTATTTCTTTTTTATTCTGGTAAGTAAAGCTACTCTTTGAGGCCCCCAAACTATTTATAATTGGTAAAACCAAAAAATAATTTTTAATAATGCTTCTTGAGGAAATAGACTACAGGCCCCTCTGGTATATACCACTCACCTTAGCAAAATCTTCAACATATTTCCTGTCTTCTACTTTTATATACAAGTGCAGTGATTTCAGCAAGTCAAATTTGATTCATAGTGACCCTGAAAACAAACAGATCTGATCCCTGGCCTGGCTTGTGCCATCTGCATCATCTCTGACATACTTGAGCCCATTGCTGAAGTCACTGTGTCATTCCTTCTTGTTGAGGGTCTTTCTCTCCTGTACTGACGCTCCACCTTTCCAAGCATGATGTTCTTTTTAAAGAATAGCCCCCTCCTAAGAGCCTTCTCCTTACCTATTAAATCATAATGCTGAGAAGATTATTTTTTTATTTAATTTCTTTATTTTTCATTTCAATGAACATCTACAGAGATTTTGGAATTCCA